CCTTTCACCTTATGAGAGCTCTGGGAATCAAACACAGGTATTTTCACCTGCTGAACCATCTTGCCAGCCCTTTAAAAGTTTTTTGTTTAGATTTTATTTTATGTGTGTGAATCTTTTACCTGCAAATATGTGTGTGTAGTTGGTCTGTGCCTAGTGTCCACAGAGGTCAGAAGAGAGTGTCAGAGCCTTTGGAACAGGTGGTTGTGAGATGGGTGCTGGGAACTGAATCAAGGTCTTGGGGCCAGGCCGTGGTGGCGCACGCCCTTAATCCCTGCACTCAGGAGGCAGAGGCAGGCAGATCTCTGAGTTCAAGGTCAACCTGGTCTACAGAGTGAGTTCCAGAACAGGCTGGAAAGCTACACAGAGAAACCCTGTCTTCAAGCCCCCCCCCAAAAAAAAGAACAACGAATGCTCTTAACTGCAGAGCCTAACCCTTTAAAAAATAACATGTCTTAAGTTTTTAGATGAAGGGAAGCATTACTGTGTGTCATCAGGCTTGTGCTGTATTGATGGTTAGTTTTAGTTGTCAACTTGACACAATCTATAGAGAATCTCAGTGGGGGATTGTCTAGAGAAAGTTGGCTTGTGGGCGTGTCTTGAGGGGAGGTTATCCTGGTTGTGTTGAGACTGAAAGGCCTGCCCACTGTGGGCGGCACCATTTCCGCAGATGGGATCCCTATCTGTGAGAGCAGATAAAAATGAGCTGAGCACAAGTGTGCATTGACCCATTGTTCCTGACCATGGATGCAATGTGGCCAGCTGTCTCAAGCTCCAGATGTGTGGCTGCACCTCAGTGATGGACTGTGACCTGGAGCTATGAGCTAAGCAGACCCTTTCTCTCCTAAGTTGCTTTTGTCAGGATGCTTTATCATAGCAACAGGAAGGAAGCTGAGGCACGTGGCAAGCGCCTTTGCCTGTTGAGCCACCTCACGGCCCCCTTTTGTTCTTTAGTTCATTTTCAGCAGGGTCTCACTCTGCAGCTGAGGCGGAAAGACTCCAACCTCTGCCTCCTAATCCAGATATTCACTCCATGCCCACCTTATAAGGTGACATCTTTTTACCTATTCACTAAACAGCACCCCCAAAGAGGGTGGCAGACAGAATAGGTGCAACGCCATCAGTTAACAGGGAATGGAAGTAAACACCTCAATGACACACTTACCCATTCATTAAATGCTTCTTATAAAATGAAAAGCATTGTTAAGGATACAGACAGCTGGAACCCTCAAACCTCATTGGCTGGAGTGTAAACTAGTACAACCATTTGGAACAGATGTTTAGTTACTTAATAATACTGTACCTACTTTGTGCCCAGAAAGTCCCATGCCCCGGGCATTATCCAACAGAAGTGAGTTACACAAAAACATGTATTTGCCGGGCAGTGGTGGTACACACCGTTTATCCCAGCACTCTGAAGGCAGGGACAGGTGGATCTCTGTGAGTTCAAGGCCAGCCTGGTCTATCAAGTGAGTGCCAGGACAGCCAGGGCAGTTACACAGAGAAACCCTGTCTAAAACAACAAAACCATGTCTTCAAGAATACTCATAGGGGCCCAGTGAGATGACAAGAGGTTGGAAGCACTTGCCATGCAAGCTTGACCTGAGTTCGATGCCCGGAACACACAAGTGGAAAGAGAGTTGAGTCACAGCAGTTGTCCTCTGACTTTCACACGCACACTATGGCACACGCCCATGTGTTTTCACACACACACACACACACACACACACACACACACACACACGCACAATCAAATCAATCAAATTAGAAACACCTGCTCATAGAGCCCCCAAACTGTAAGCTCATTCAAATGCTCACTAATAGGCAAATTATAAAAATAAATCTAGGTGTGGTGGCACACATGATTGCCTTGGGTTCAAGGTCAGCTCCAGCTATACAGGAAGACTTTGTCTCAAAAACAAACAAACAGCCGGGCGTTGGTGGCGCACGCCTTTAATCCCAGCACTCGGGAGGCAGAGGCAGGCGGATCTCTGTGAGTTCGAAACCAACCTGGTCTACAGAGGGAGTTCCAGGACAGCCTCCAAAGCCACAGAGAAACCCTGTCTCGAAAAACCAAAAAAACAAAAACAAAAACAAAAAAAAACAAACAAACAAAAAACCCACCTCAGCACCTACAGAAGGGACAGATTAGTAAAATATGCAATATCCATACAAAGAACTGCACATGTGATGAGCACGGATGGCTCCACAGAACCATGCGTGAGCTAGAGGAGACAGACACAGTGTTCAAAGGTAGACAACGCTGGTATGTGTCAGGATGGTGTCACTAGAGAGGGCAGCTGCAGGCTGACAGCAAGAAACTTTGGGGACTGGTCGGATACGGTGCACATGAAATATGGAATTAGGCAGGGCACGCCTTTAATCCCAGCACTCGGGAGGCAGAGGCAGGTGGATCTCTGTGAGTTCAAGACCAGCCTGGTCTACAAGAGTGAGTTCCATGACTGCCTCCAAAGCCACAGAGAAACCCTGTCTTGAAAAACCAAAAAAAAAAAAATGTGGAATTAAATGATTATGATTTGTAAATTTTTTTTTGGTTTTATGAGACAGGGTTTCTCTGTATTGTTTTGGAGGCTGTCGGTCCAGCCCGGCCTCGAACTCAGAGATCCGCCTGCCTCTGCCTCCCGAGTGCTGGGATTAAAGGTGTGCACCACCACCACCCGGCGATTTGTAAATATTACGCAAGCCTTATTTTAAGAGGCATATATGATATAGAATTACGCATTTGTTGATGGGGAAAGGGCCATCAGTATGGCTCCACAGTTAAGGCACCTGTTGTGAAACTTGACCTCCTGAGTTCAGTCCCTGAGTCTCACAGGTAGGCGAGCACTGCCCTCACACGTGTGCCGTGGGGAATGTGCACACACAAATAAATACATGTAGCTTCATGTTTTAAAAAGAGGCATATGTTTGTTGATTTGAGACAGGGTCTCTCTATGCAGTCCTGATTGTCCTGGAGCTTTCGATGTAGGCCAGGTTGGCCTCAAAATCATAGTAATCCTCTTGCTTCTGCCTCCCCAGTGCAGGGATTAAAGGCATACACCACACTCAAATGTATAAATTTTTGAAAGTTTTTTTTTTTTTTTAGCTGAGCAGCAGTGGTGGCACAGGTCTTTTTTTTTTTTTGTTTTGTTTTTTTTTGTTTTTGTTTTTGTTTTTCGAGACAGGGTTTCTCTGTGTAGCTTTGGAGGCTGTCCTGGAACTAGCTCTGTAGACCAGGCTGGCCTCGAACTCACAGAGATCCGCCTGCCTCTGCCTCCCGAGTGCTGGGATTAAAGGCGTGCGCCACCAATGCCCGGCTTTTTTTTTTTTTTTTTTTTTTTTTTTTTTGTACTGCTTTTTCAGAGGAACTAAGTTTGATTCCCAGCGCCCACAATGGGTGGCTCATAGCTGCCTGTCACTCTTGGAGATTTGGTGGGGTACCAGCACACACACACAGACATACCCATATACAAAGGTAAAAATAATACATTTAAAAAGGGAAAGCTATGTGGTGTGTGTGTGTGTGATGTACATGTATGAAAATACATGGAAGGGGGCTGGAGAGATGTCTCAGTAGTTAAGAGCACTGACTGCTCTTCCAAAGGCCTCTGATTCAATTCCCAGCACCCAGATGGCAGCTCAAAACTGTCTGTAACTCCAAGATCTGACACCCTCACACAGACATACACACAGACAAAACACCAATGCAAATAAAATAAAAATAAATAATTTTTTTAAAAAAGAAAGAAAATACATAGAAGTGAGCCACTCGGGAATTAAGCTAACTGTGGAAGACCCAGTCCCCAGTTCTCTGCCAACCGCGTTTCTCTCCAGACTGCACATGACCCCAAACAGCTAGCCTTGGTGAAGTCAAGGGTCCCTTAATTCCCGGGTGTACGTGCTCTTTGTCCCTCTGTTCTATTTAGACCCAGGACTAATATTTACCTTGTAAACAGGAAATGAGGGAGGGGGAGGGGAAGGCCCAGAGCTGCTGTGTAGAATTGGAAACCTCTGGAGGCTGGCCCGGTGCAGACAGGTTGGGAGGGAAGGGCTGTGTCAGGGAGACCCAGAGTCGTGGGCCAGCTCCTGTTCTGGGGCAGGAGACCGGAGAAGACAGCCTCCGTTCACAGCACCCGACAGGATAGCACCCTTAGAAGGGAAGAAAGAGGAGTCAACCCTGGCTGAGAGTCGCTCTGTCTCTCTTGTGGTTACCCCGTGCAATGCGGAAGCTTTCACCTGGGCACACCCATCTCCGTTCCTTACGTCTGCACGCATCTGCTAGTCAGTAGGTGCTCTACACTGACAGCCTCCCCTAGTTCTCACAGCGAAGTGTTATGCCCGGTGCGCAGATTAGGGGTCTGTGGTTCTGGTGTGTGGAAATGGAGAGTTCTGGCACCATGCCCGTTGGTTGGGACTAGCAGGATCTCTGGAAGGATTCGTGGATCCACGTTCTCCCACTTAATAAATGGTGGAAGGGGTTGGATGACAGTCTTTTCTATGTGATTTTCTCCCTAAGAACACCCATCCCGGGAGAACCTGTCCTCTGGGATGGCGGGGGGTGGACCCTAGAACTATCTACCCATTTGTCCCCAAGGCCCTGACCCCCTGACCTCTCCCTTGCCACTGATTTCTTCACGTTGGTTCAACATTAACTCAGAGAGAGTCGGGACAATCCCTCAGATTCCAGGAGCTGACACACTATGTTGCACGTCCGAGGCCTGGGGCTACCTGGCTGCCTGGCTCTGGCTGCCCTGGTTAGCCTGGTACACAGCCAGCATGGTAAGGGGCCCTTGGAGGCCTGGACATGATGGAGGATGTGGGATAGGCCTGTGGGTTGGGGTTTCCTGGCTAAGACCAGATAACACAGGAACAGTCAGCCCCCAGGTGGACCTCAGACCTAGCTTAGAGGAGTCGGGTGCATGGGGCAGGGAGGGGCGCCATTCCAGAATGGCGTGTGCACGGGGGCAACCAATGAAAGACCGGCAACTCACAGTGGCCTTCTGGGTACTTCTGCAGCCCCTATGTCCCCTCTTGGAAGCCAGCTGGCTAGGCCAGGTTTGCTTCCTACGCCTTAATGGCTAAAATAGCCAGGCTTTCCAGAGACCCGTTTCCCATGCTCCACCCGCCACTGCAGTGTTCCTGGCCCCCCAGCAAGCCCTGTCGCTGCTCCAGCGGGTCCGGAGAGCCAACAGCGGCTTACTGGAGGAGCTAAGAAAGGGCAACCTGGAGCGGGAGTGCGTGGAGGAGCAGTGCAGCTATGAGGAGGCCTTCGAGGCCCTGGAGTCGTCCAGCGCCACGGTGAGCCCACACTGGCTGCCGGGAGGAAGGGCGGGTGGGCGAGGAAAGGCCTGGACTCCCTTAGCAGAGGAAGGCAGGGTCCGTGGGTGACACGAGCAGGAGACATCTGGATCTTTCCTGCTCAGACTTCCACTTCCATTCTGACCCCCATCTCCCTGGGGTGCAAGATGGGCGCCCAAAGTCACCAAGACTGTAGCCCAGGCCTACACTGGGCTGTCACAGTGAGGCTCGTGACATCAAGGGACCTCTTTAGCTTCGGCAGTCGGCTATACTGGGGCTGGCTGAGTTGCTTGCTTAAGCCTTCCTGGCATTTCCGGCACCGGGGCTCTCTCTACTGCAGCCCATTCCTTGGCGGGGGCCGAGTGGGGATGGGGGGAGGGGGCTCTTCTATCTTCTCCAGCCTGGAGGACACCCGTTCATTCATGTGTGCTGGGGGACTCTCTCTCTTCACATTCTCTCCCTTTGGAAGCCAAAATGGGGGACTAAAGCCGGGCTGCGGTGGCGAGGGAAGGGCATAATGTCTACTAACAGAAGCAGAGCTCTGCCGGGCTGGAGTCTCACCCGCAGCCCTTGCTTTGCAGGAGGTGTTCTGGGCCAAGTACAGAGGTGAGCGGCCAACACGGTTTGCCCTGGGAAGGGAGGTTGGGGGACTCGAGGCAGAGACTGTCCTCTCCTACAAATTTTCCGCTGTATACCACACCCAGGGGTCCGTTCTCTCTCCTGTCTCCTTCCCATCTGTTATCCCTGCTTCTATCATCCCTCACCTGTCCCCACAGCAACACCTAAGGTGTTTCTGCTTTTTTTCCAGTCTGCGATTCAGCGAGGAAACAGCGGGATACTTTCATGGACTGTATGGAAGGTGAGGGGTGGACTTGGGTGGGTGAATGGTGGGGAACCCTGGCAGAAAAGGGAAACTGGTGACTGGTTAGCTGGCTGAAGTGGTGTCTCCGATGCCTGACGTTGCTTCTTTGTTCTGTGGTCAAGGATGTTTTTGCATGTGTCCTCATGTCTGGCAGTCAGCCAGACTGTCAGAGGAATGGAGGGATGAATGGATAATTAATTAGTCTGGGGGGGGGCTTGCTCTTCATGCCTGACTAGGCCCCTGTCCACCCTGTGTCAGAGCTCTGACTGGTTAATTCATTCTCCAACATTTTTTGTTTTGTTTTTGAGACAGGGACTCCTGTAGTCCAGGGTGGCTTTGAACTTGCTAGATGTTGAGGGTGACCCTGAACTCCTGATCCTCCTAATTCTACCTCTCCAGTGCTGGGGTTGCAGGCATGTGCCGCCATGGCCAGCTTCCATTCTCCAATGCTGCTAATGATTCCCTATTATCCACAGGCTCTCAGTCAGGAAATAGTTGCATCTGTGGCCTTGACTCTCTTCTAGACTCCCAAGCTCTCTTCCTACACTGACAGCAATCTGATCTGGACCCTGTCCCTACATTGATAGCGAGCTGGTCAAGTTCAGCAAACATGTCAAGAAGTCTCAACCCTTGCCTACTTTGTTACTTTCCCTTGGAGGAGCCAACACTCCCCACTGAAAACCCTGTGCTTCAGGGACTCCTCAGAGCCTTCAGGGAGAAGCTTCCATCCATAGCATTCTGAATATAGCTTTAGTCTAGCAACAGGCTCCACTGTCGTCAGGGAACCCCTAAGGGCCATAGCTTCCTTCCTCCCCCTCCTACTTCCCTCCCTCCCTCCCTCCGTTCCTTCCTTCTATCTCTCTCTCCTTCCTTCCTTCCATGGTCTAGGCTGACTTTGAACTCCTGATTTCCCACCTTTCCACCCCATGTAGCCTTGGTTGTCTTTTTTTTTTTTTTTTTTTTTTTTTTTTGGTTTTTTGAGACTGGGTTTCTCTGTGTGACTTTGGAGGCTGTCCTGGAACTCGCCTTGTAGCCCAGGCTGACCTCGAATTCACAGAGATCCACCTGCCTCTGCCTCCTAAGTGCTGGGATTAAAGATGTGCATCACCAAATATGTATGAGTGTTTGCCATGTACATCTGTATACCACTTATATGTCCTGGTGCCTGTGGAGGCCAGAAGAGAGCATTAGGTTCCCTGGAACTGGACTCCTGTGAGCTGTCATGTGGGTGCTGGGAATTGAACCCAGGTCCTCTAGAAGTTGCAGCCAGTACTCTTAACTACTGAGCCATCTCTCCAGCCCTCATACTTACATTACTTACTCAAAAAACAAATTGTGCTAAACCTTCAGTGTGTGCCAGGCACTGTTGTTGTGGGGTTTCTCCCACCAGCCTGGTCCAGCAGCTGCCTCAACCCCAAATAAGCACACGGATGCTGTAGTAGTTATAAAACTGTTGGCCAAATGACTAGGACTTCTTATTGGCTAGCTCTGTCTTTTTTTGTTTTGTTTTGTTTTTCAAGACAGGGTTTCTCTGTATCGTTTTGGAGGCTGTCCTGGAACTCGCTCTGTAGATCAGGCTGGTCTCGAACTCACTGAGATTTGCCTGCCTCTGCTTCCCAAGTGCTGGGATTAAAGGAGTGCGCCACCAATGCCCGGCCAGCTAGCTCTGTCTTAATTATTAACCCATTTCTATTAATCTATATATTTCCACGTGGTCTTGGCTTACCGAATGCCTGTCCTGTCCTATCCTCCTGGTCTACATGGTGACTCTGCTGGCGGGCTCTTTCTGCCTACTTTTTCCAGAATTCTCCTCATCCTAGTCCCACCTATCTTCCTGCCTCATTGGTCACAGTATTTTATTCATTAACCAATAAGAGAAACATATATACAGAAGGAAATCCCCCATCAAGGCACTGTGTTGGTGCTGGGTGCTGGGGCTTTCTTTGTAGGTAGGATCTAAGTGCAGATGAGCTGGCGTTGAACTCGGCATCTTGTATTTCAGCTGGCTGAGCTCTAGGGTTATAGAGAGGTGCCACCACACAGGTGCTGGGGACTTTAAGAGCACCAAATAGTTCTGGGATTTACTCACAACCTCGGGTAAACAGAGATACCAAACATTGAGGAACTCTTGGAAAAGCCAGGGAAGAGCAGAGGGACAGTTGACTTGTCAGTGGAATCAGAGATGACGTCCCAGAAGAGCTGTGTACCCTGGCCTTGTGGCAGGAGTTGGTGAACAAATCTGAGGGAATTCTAACCATGCAGGGTGTGTGCAAAGGCTACGATAGGAGGAGCAGGGAGACTGGGCCCAGCTGAGCATTGTGCCTGTCACCCGGTTGTCACATGGATGAAGTGGAGTGGATAGACCTATTGTAAAGGCACGTGGGTTACAGACGGTGGACCAGAGAGAGCCTGGAGCGGGGAGATAGACAAAGTGTCAACAGAAGATCTGGGGACAGTTCTCAGAGGCCGATGCAGACTCAGGTGTGTATCCCTATAGGTCACTGTGCTATGGACCTGGGCATGAACTACCATGGGACTGTGAGTGTCACCCACTCTGGTATCGAGTGCCAGTTATGGCGGAGCCGCTACCCACACAAGCCTGAGTGAGTGCTGGGCAGGCCTGTCTACCAGCAGACCCGGAGGGGGAGCAGGGCACACTCGGGACGCACAAGGTCCCTGCGCACCCTTCTCTTCCAGCATCAACTCCACCACCCATCCCGGGGCCGACCTGCAGGAGAATTTCTGCCGCAATCCAGATAGCAGCACCAAGGGGCCCTGGTGCTACACCACAGACCCCACTGTGCGAAGAGAAGAATGCAGTATTCCCATTTGTGGTGAGTTGGGGCCTGGAAGAGGTCTGTGGCCAAGGCCCAGGGGTCTTCAAAAGTCCTGGCAATCTTGAATGGGCATCCTAATGCTGGCCACCTTCAGAGCAAGTGGTTGTTACAAACTGAATGGGCCTGTTAACCAGGGCATGTGGGAGACCGGGCAGGCTGCCTGTCACCTCCTTTTTTTTTTTTTAACTTATGTGCAAAGTTTATTGGGAGAAGGTAAGGGAGTAAGCAAAGGGAAGAGAAAAGAGAAAAAGAGATAGAGAAGAGACAGAGAGACAGAGATTTGTCTGCCTCCTCAGAGAGGTGGCGGGAATAGAAAGCCTGTCTTTTCACCTTCCCTGTCTTGGTTCTCTCATGCTGTGGCTCATTTCAAACAACTTTTTGTATCCTGTCAAGGTTCTCTCCCCCAGGAAAGTCCTCCTAGATCACTTCAGTCACATGCCTTTTCCAAACACCACAGAGTAAGCATATAAGGCTCTGTCCCGGGTTGTGATTAGTTCCCATGGTTACCCAGCGCCAGTCACAATAATGCTGCAGAACCCACACCCTTCCCTGAGGAGCGTGCCACAACAAGGGTTTATTTCTTGTACCACTGAGGCCTGGCTGGGATGCTCTGAGCTCACTCACCTGGGTGCATGACTGGGCTGGGGAGAGTGTCCCGTCCATGTGTGCTGGGCCTGCAAAGTTACTGTGCTGGGAATGATGGGTTCCTTGCTCCACTTGTACTCCTGCTGGGGCTGAGAAGGTCCTTGAGAAAGTTCCTCCCACCCCTGGTGATGGCAGCCATGCAGAACAATGAACACAAGTGTTGTCTGAAGGCCCATTCAGGGTTGGCAGCCAGCCTGCCTGCGTTCCATTGGTAGCACTGGCCTGCCAATGGGCCATCGGTCACATGTGCCACATGGCCAAGGCCAAAGTCAGGAAGTGAAGTACTGTCCGATGTAAAACCAGGGTGAAGAGTACGAATATGAGCAGAATGGTGAGCTCAGACCATGGGCTGGTTCAGTGGCAGAGAGTTTGGCTAGGATGCACAAGGCCCTAGGTTCAAACACCCTACCCCCCAAAAAGAAAGGACTGTCTTGGCAGTGCAGAGCAGACCTATAACCCCAATCAATGGAGATGCTGAGGTGCAAGGACAGAAGGATCAAAAGTTCAGGCCCTGGACTGGAGACATGGTTCAGCAGTTAAGAGTATTTGCCTCTCTTGCAGAGGATCAGAACTCAGTTCCCAGCACCCATGCTGGGTGGCTCACAACTACTTGTAACTCCAGCTCCAGGGGATCTAATTCTCTCTTTTGGCCCCCTCAATCACCTGAACATGTGCAAACACACACACACACACACACACACACACACACACACACACACACACACACCACATCAAGAGACATGAATAAAAATGAAAAAATCTTTGTTTTAAAGTTAAGGCCTGTTTAGACAACAGTGAGTTCAAGGCCAGCCTAGGCAACTTAGTGAGATCTTGTCTCAAAGAGAAAACAGAGGGCTAGGTTATAACTGAATGGTAGAGAACATTCCTTCCCTAGCTGCAGGCTAGTCTCCTGTTCTTTGTCAGCTACATTCCACCCCAGACGGGTCTTAAAGCAAATCACCAATGATTTTTTTTTTGTTTTTTCGAGACAGGGTTTCTCTGTGGCTTTGGAGGCTGTCCTGGAACTCGCCTTGGTAGTTCAGGCTGGTCTCGAACTCACAGAGATCCACCTGCCTCTGCCTCCCGAGTGCTGGGATTAAAGGCGTGCGCCACCAACACCCGGCTATCACCAATGATTTTAAACAATCTTAACAAATGGGAAATACATTGTAGGCATGCTGAAATTGACCTGTCCACATGGACATCCTTAGTAGACCCTACAGTCTTTCTGCTGTGTCCAATTACAGCACAAAACCTTAGCCTGGTGTGGTGGGGCACACCTTTAATCCCAGCCCTTGGGAGGAAGAGGCAGGCCGACTTCTCAGTTCAAGGCCAGCCTGGTCTCCAGAAGAAAGAGTTCCGGGAGTGTTGGGATGGCCCACACCTGGTTTGTGCTGTGTGTTTTACATTCTCCATTCTCTCAACTGTCAGAGAAGATAGGCCTATGTGGCCTATTTGAAGGGAGGCTGCCGAGGCTGGGGGTGTTTAAGTTGCCTGAAGTCACACAGATGGAATCCACTGGGACAGGGATTCAAATCTTTCTCGAGTCTGCGTGTGGTTCCCCCAACTTTGGCTTCTGTATCCTTCCACGCCAGGCCAGGAGGGCCGCACCACTGTGGAGATGACTCCTCGTTCTGGAGGTTCCAAGGGCAATCCGTCACCCCCACTGGAGCAGTGTGTTCCTGAGCGTGGCCGGCTGTACCAAGGGAACTTGGCTGTGACAACACTTGGGTCTCCTTGCCTAGCCTGGGCCAGCTTACCAGCCAAGGGCCTGAGCAAGTACCAAGACTTCGACCCGGAGGTGAAACTTGTGGAAAACTTCTGCCGCAACCCAGATGGGGATGAGGAGGGCGTGTGGTGCTACGTCGCCGGGCAGCCTGGCGACTTTGAGTACTGCAGCCTCAACTACTGCGGTGAGCAGAACTCAGGGGCAGAAGACAAGTGGGTTCATTACAGCCTTACAGAAACCTGGCTAGGGGTAGGTCGTGTTTTCATTTCATAGATGAGTTAACGGAGGTCCTGAGAGGTTGTTGCCTGGTCGTCGAGGAGTACCTACACTCTTAATCTTGGAGTCAAATGCCCTCCAAAGCCCGTGGGGGCTTGGGAAGGTCTAAGTTCCCCATCTTTTACAGAGGAGGCGGTGGAAGAGGAGATCCACGACGTGGAGGAGTCCATTGGAGGGCGCACCACCGACGGGGAGTTCCACACATTCTTCGATGAGAATACCTTTGGCTTGGGGGAGGCAGGTGAGGCAACCGCGTGTCCGTGGGACGTGGGACTGCAGGGCAGGATGGACCCCTCACCATCGGCCTTGCTCTGCAGACTGTGGCCTTCGGCCTCTGTTCGAGAAGAAGTCGCAGAAAGACAAAACGGAAAAGGAGCTTCTTGACTCTTACATAGACGGGCGCATCGTGGAGGGCTGGGATGCTGAGATGGGTATCGCCCCCTGGTGCGTCCTGGACAGATCTGCAGGCCGGCGGAAGGCCTGCCCCACCCACAGCCGCTGCAGGACCTGGCACTCACAAGCTGGTTCCACAAATGACACTAGCACCCTCTACTTATCCCCAAAGCCATCTCAGTTAACTGGTTTTATTTACTAAGTCTCCTAAGTAGATAGATGGTGGAGTTGAGGCCCAGCGAGCTTAAGTGACTCACTCCCAGGCACACTATAATATAGTCGGGACTTGTACCCAATCTTCTGACTTCCGACTTGTGCTAAACTATGTGAAGTCTACATTTGAAGAGCTCTGGTCCCCTAGGACAGCCGAGTGGATCTAACCTGGAGGCGGCCCTCTTTCACTATCTCACAAGCTTTCTTTGTGTGTGTGTGGGGGGGGAGGGGGTTGGCAACAAGGTCTCATGTGGCAGAGACTGACCTTGAACTTGAAATCCTTCTTGTTTCCACCTCCCAAGTGCTAGGATTACAGGCTTGTGCCACCATCCTAGTCCAGTAGCTCTTTTTTTTTTTTTTTTTTTTTTTTTTTTGGTATTTTCGAGACAGGGTTTCTCTGTGGCTTTGGAGGCTGTCCTGGAACTAGCTCTTGTAGACCAGGCTGGTCTCGAACTCACAGAGATCCACCTGCCTCTGCCTCCCAAGTGCTGGGATTAAAGGCTTGCGCCACCAACGCCCGGCCAAACCATAGCTCTTAATCTAGGCTCTTTTTCCACTTGTAGAGCTGCTGAAGGGCCAGGCCCCAGCTCCTAACGTACTCTGCTTCCCATTAGGCAAGTGATGCTTTTCCGGAAGAGTCCCCAGGAGCTGCTGTGTGGGGCTAGTCTTATCAGTGACCGGTGGGTCCTCACTGCTGCCCACTGCCTTCTGTACCCACCCTGGGACAAGAACTTCACCGAGAATGACCTTCTGGTACGCATTGGCAAGCATTCTCGCACCAGGTATGAAGTTGGTGGCTGGGGTGACAGGCTGGGACCCGAGGGCCCATTAGGTGAGATGTGGCTCCCACTGTATGACTTCTCAGCATCCCCACTAGGAAAGCCCATTTGGGCAATGTCCTGACTCACTCCAGACACCAGAACGTGGTCCAGGTGGGAGTTGCTTTCAATTGTGACTCTGAATAGTACATGTGGTTTGTGCCCATTTATGTCTGCTGGCCTATATGGCTCAAAAGTCCTATGTGGATATCGGACTGGGAGGAAGCTGCCAGAAGGATGCCAAGGAAGATATGGTGGCTCAGTGGTCATCCTACCTTCCAGACTCCCAGGGCAGACTGTGACCTTCCTCAGTGAGCTGGGTATTCTCATGGGCAGGCCCACTACTCCTGACTTTTCTGTTGGGATTTGCGCAGGTATGAGCGGAACATTGAAAAGATCTCCATGCTAGAAAAGATCTACATTCACCCCAGATACAACTGGCGGGAAAACCTGGACCGTGACATTGCCCTGATCAAACTCAAGAAGCCTGTGCCTTTCAGCGACTATATTCACCCTGTGTGCTTGCCAGACAAACAGACAGCAACCAGGTCAGCACCAGGGCCTCTGCTGTGATTTGGCCTGGGGAAACATTTGCAGGTTGCAGTTTGGGGGCCTGGCACACATTTGCAGGTTGCAGTTTCATCGTGTGAATGCTAGGTTTTTGTATGTTGGTCTCTGGGAAATAGAGTTAGTTATCAGAAGGCTTCTAGATGCTGTCAGGGACAATTCTCACTGGGTCCCTCTCTTTCCCTAAAGCTTGCTCCAGGCTGGGTATAAAGGGCGGGTGACAGGCTGGGGCAATCTTCGGGAGACATGGACAACCAGCATCAGCGAGATACAGCCCAGCGTCCTGCAGGTAGTGAACCTGCCCATTGTAGAACGGCCGGTGTGCAAGGCCTCTACCCGGATACGCATCACTGACAACATGTTCTGTGCTGGTAAGCCTTATGTCTTGGGTCAGGGATACAGCTGGGACAGGGGTTGGTAGACTTGGGATGTGGTATGGGCATATACCTCAGCTTGTACAAATCAGACGACTCTAAGCAAGTGGCTGAACCTTTTGACAGTAAAAGGAAGGTAAAAGTTTCCATGCTTTGAGGTGTGAAGTTAGAGAGAGTGTGTTTGGCCTGAGGCCATTAATTCCTGCTCAATGCTCAATATATATAGCTCAGTGGAGGTCCTGGGTAGGGAGAAGGTTTTTATTCAGTCACTCATCACATACTTCTTGAATGCCTATTGGGTCCAAGGTAACATTTGAGGGTATACAGCAGAGACCCAAATAGGTGGTCCTGAGGAAGCTTCCTTCCTAGAAGGGGAAATGCCAATACATACAATATCCAGAGCACCAATTCTTGATAAACAGCTCTGAAGAGGAGAGGAGCAGAGTAAAGGAGACTTCAAGGGACAACATCAACCAAATACAGCGGTCAGAGAGTTGGAGAAGGCTTTCTCAGGAAGGTGGAGGCTAAGCTCAATTTATTTATTTATTTATTCTCACTATGTAGTCTTAGCTGACCTGGCATTTGCTATATAGTTCAGGCTGGCATCAAACTGTGCCTATATTAAAGCCATGCATGGCTCTGAGTTGCTTAGGTTTTTTTTTTTTTTTTTTTAAAGATTTGTTTTGTATGCAGTGTTCTGCCTGCATGTGTGCCTGCACACCAGAAGAGGTCACCAGATCTCATTGCACATGGTTGTGAGTCACCATGTGGTTTCTGGGAACTGAACTCAGGACCACTGGAAGAGCAGCCAGTGCTCTTAACCTCTGAGCCATCTTTCCAGCTTGGTTTAGTAGATATTTAACAAAACAAAAACCTTTGCTTTTTTTTCTGGGTTGGTCCACTATCCACAGTATGTCTGCTTCAGCCTCCTAAGTGCAAAGTGCACCACCATACTCAGCTTTTTTTTTTTTTTTTTTTTTTTTTTGTCTTTGTTTTTTGAGACGGGTTTCTCTGTATGGTTTTGGAGGCTGTCCTGAGACTCGCTCTGTAGACCAGACTGGCCTCAAACTCACAGAGATCCACCTGCCTCTGCCTTTGCCTCCCAAGTGCTGGGATTAAAGGCATGTGCCACCAATGCCCGGCATTACTTTTTCTTTTAAAACTTTTTTTTTAAGATTTGTTTATTTATTATGTATACAGTGTTCTGCTTGCATGTTAGAAGAGGGCACCAAATCTCTTTACAGATGATTGTGAGCCAGCATGTGGTTGCTGGGAATTGAACTCAGGACCTCTGGAAGAGCAGTCAGTGCTCTTAACCACTGAGCCATCTTTCCAGCCCTAAAACTTTTATTATTACTGTGGTGATGCAGATTAAACCCAAGGCTTTGAGCTAGGCAACTGCTCCACCATTAAACTATATCCCAGCTGACAGTCTGAAGATTTTGGGCTTAAGGCTCCCTTTGCATTTGGTATGTTAATAATTATGAGTTTTTTGCATTGTGATAAAGACTGTAATATTTTGACTTTATGGAATGTTATTATTAACCCAGTATTTTGTAATTATTTTGTTTCATTTGCTGTGTTATTTCCCCTGTGATATTTACTTTTAAAGGTTGTGTATTTAGGAGTTTGCATTTTGCTCTAGTGACTATCTTTGGGCTTATACTTTATCAAAATGCTAATGCCTTCCTTCCTTTCCAAGTAGTACCTGATGTTTTTCTGTTTTGTATTTTCTTGAGACAGGGTCTCTCATGTAACCCAGGCTAGTCTTCAATTCACTATGTAGTTAATGTCCTTGAACTTTTGTTACTCCTGCCTCACCCAACACTGCCCACGTAGAACTAGGACTACAGGCATGTGCTGTGCACCATCGGCCGGTTTAGTTCATGTGACTTCATGCACACTTCGAAATACTCTACTACATTGTATAGTGCAGGGTCATCATGGGTTCATGATGCTTCCACCTCAGCCTCCTGACTGCAGAAGGGCACAGGCACACTCAACCATTTTAACCTCACATTTCCCACTTTTCTCCATTTTCCCCATTTATTTTTGGTCTTTTGAGACAGTCTCATGCACCCCAGGCCTGCCTTCAACTCACCATGTAGCTGAGGTTAATCTTAAATGGATCCTCCTGCCTTTAACCTTTTAAAGGTTGATTTTACAAGTACACACCATGGCATCTGATTTTTTTCATTCAATTTTTAGGTTTTAGGTTTGTGAGTCCAAGTTGTTCTCCGCCCCCCATTATGCGTGGATTGGCTGAGGATTTTTTTTGAAATAGGGTTTCTCTGTGTACTCACTGTCCTGTCCTCCAAGGTGTCCTGTGTACTCTCTATGTACTCCAGGCTGTCCTGAACCCCATCCATGGAAGAGGCTGGCAAGAGATCCGCCGGCTTCTGCCTTCTTTTGGGATTAGAGTGTACTACCACCACCACTTGGCTCTTGAGGACATTTCATTCAGATAGTTTTGTAGTTGACTGTCTTAATCGCTAAGGTCTTTTGTTTTCCTAAAGAATCTATGGGTCTGGCAAGTTTCCCTGTTCATTCTGAGATTCCTAATTTGATTCTATTGGAAGCTTTGTTTCCATCCTCATCCCATATGTGTTTTAGACTATATAATTCAGTATATATAGTACAATGAGGTTTGGTGTTTCTGTAGTCTATTTATTTGAAGGTGTGGTTTGGGAGTACAGGAGAGGGCTATCTGTAACTTGGCCAGAGTGGAAATGGTGAGAAGTGGCTGGTATGGGGACAACCTTGGCAGTTAAGAGCCAACAAGTTTGCTAAAGGATTAGATACCTAGGGTGAAGAAATGAGGTCAAGATAATCATCTTGGGGTCAAGTGGGTATTTGTGGGCTTTAATACCCTAAGAAGTAACTCCTGAACCCTGCTGTTCTTCCTCAAGGTTTCAAGATAAATGACACCAAGAGAGGAGATGCTTGTGAAGGTGACAGTGGGGGACCTTTTGTGATGAAAGTAAGCTTCTCTAAAGGCCAGGGGCTGATGGGTAATCTCCCTGTGGTAGGGGAGTTTGGGGAAAAAAAAACAAACCTTGTTTCCAGCAACAGCCTGGACCTGACCTTTGGAATCCCCATCTTTCTTCCTCAGAGCCCTTTTAACAACCGCTGGTATCAAATGGGCATTGTCTCATGGGGTGAAGGCTGTGACCGGAACGGGAAATATGGCTTCTACACACATGTGTTCCGCCTGAAAAAGTGGATACAGAAAGTCATTGAACGATTTGGATAGATGTGGGGGGAACAGGACACCCACAATATGGGACCTTCATTGCAAAAATCACAGAAACTAGTCAAAAGTATTTTTGTGGTTTGTTTCTGTTCTCAATAAAAGTGACAGTTAAATTTCAGTGTGCCCAGTGCTGTTGATAGGCAACTTTTTGGACTGGGCTATGAAGAGGAAGTAATGCTTGCTGGACAGACAGAACTGCAAATATTTTATACACATATATATGATTTATTAGAGTGGTGTACAGGCTGCAATTTGGTTAGTTCAACAATGGGTATCTCTGGACAGAGCGGCCAAGAATCCAGCATTTGTTTAGACTCCAGGATGGATGACTCAGCTGATCTTCATTCTACACTGGAATCACTAGGAGGTTTTGATGCCAGGGAACCTGCCTCAGAAGCAGGATCAACCAGCGAACTTGCCAGAGAAAAGTGAGGACAAGCAGGGCAAAAGCCAAAGCTTCCTTCTTCCAGGTCCTTTTATGCATGCTGGACCAGAAGGTATGGCTCAAATTTAGGGTAGACTTACCCATTTCAAATGATCCAATCAATAAAAATTCTCTTCCAGGACATCCAGGACTACACAAAGAAATCCTGTCTTGAAAAACCCCCAAAAAAGGAAAAAAAATTTCTCATAGGCATGCTCATCTGCTTGTATTTTAGTTGATTCCAGATGACAACCAAGATTTTAGTCATCATATCCTACATCCTTCATCATGTCATGAAAACAGCATACACATGCCCCCAAGAGGCTCAATAGCACCTTTGAGATTATAGTTAGATTGTGAATGGACACATAGGCTTCTCACATGACCTGATGTTGTCTTCAGTCTTCAAGTGTATGCTCTGGCTCTTCTGGAACTCACTATATAGACCAGACTGGCCTTGAATTCCCAGAGATCTATTTTTACTTTTGCAGGGCTGGGATTAAAGGCTTGGGCTACTATGCCTAGCTTCTGTCTTCAGTCTTTGTTTTGTTTTTTGAGACAGGGCTTCCCTTGGCTGTGCTGGAACTCTGTAGACCAGGCTGACCTTGAACTCGGGAGGCAGAGACAGGCCGATTATTCACACTTGGGACATTTTTTTATTTTTTATTTTTTTGGTTTTTCGAGACAGGGTTTCTCTGTGGCTTTGGAGGCTGTCCTGGAACTCGCTCAGTAGTCCAGGCTGGTCTCGAACTCACAGAGATCCGCCTGCCTCTGCCTCCCGAGTGCTGGGATTAAAGGCGTGCACCACCAACGCCCGGCCACACTTGGGACATTTACAGATAAGAGGGCACCGCAGACTCTAACATGGGATGGTAAGTTTCGGCTGATGTCCCTGAGCTGCAAGGCAAGAGCAAAGACTGAAGGACAAGGGGTCATGCCTTTACCATTGACAACTTTGGTCAGCAATATACATGGCTTAAAGTGGGAGGGCTAGGGATGGTGACAGAGGCAGATGGATCCTTGTGAGTTTGAGACCAGCCTGGTCCAATTGTACTATGTTTCAGTTAGCCAGGGCTAGATGGTGAAACCCTATCTTGACAAATAACAACAACAAAAACCAAAGGTGGAAGGACCTCTATCTTTATCTCAATTCCCAGCCCTTCTCCTTCTCTGTTTGCTGAGTCTCCTTGTGAGTTTAGGCTAGTCTCCAACTTGAGATCCTCTTGTGTCAGCCTACCAAATTAAGACTATAGGCATTTGCCACTACTTTATTGGTTTTCCATATTTGATGAACAAGGGAACAGAGAATTAAGGAACAATTTCTTGCTTATTCTGTGGCTCTGGCTGACTGGAAAGCTGGAACGAAGTGGGTACAAGTTTTCAGTGACATTACAATACCTCAGCTACTCTGGGCTTTAGGGGGAAGGGTAAGAAAGCATTGTATTTTGGCTTCGTGGTGCACATCTTTAATACTAGCACTGGAGATGCAGAGGCAGATGGATCTCTACAGTTTCAGGGCAGCCTATAGTGAATTCAAGGACAGCAAGGACTACATAGTGAGACCTTGTTTCAAAACAAATCAAGAGTGCACTGTAATGCTCAGAGCACTGTCAACATCATTGTTGGGGTTATAAACTTTGAACACTTAGTTTTTAGATGAATGGTGCCATTCTTGACCTCACTTTCCAAATATGTCCTCCTATAGCAGAAGTCTCCACCTTCCCTGTAGGGAACACTTACCACTCCATGCTCCGCCTAGAGAGAAGCAAGTTTAATTTCAGGCAGCCTTGGGGTCACTGGAAAATGGTGACTGGGACCAACAGAGGGTTCACTTGATGGAAAATCAAGATTCATTTTCCTTCCATCTTTTATTGTGTGGAATGCCAGTTGAGTAGAAGGTGGACTCGAAAAGAAAGTTCTTTTGAGCTGTCCTGGAGCTTGCCTGACGTCTCCCCTAGAACCCAGAAACTTAGTCTTGAAGCAGTTTTTTTAACTATGGAGGCAGATTTATTCTGGAAGTTAATCTTCAGCTCACATTTTGTCCTCACTCAACACCAAGTATGGCATAATTAGTCTGGATTGAAAGAAGCTTAGCTATTCAGTAGGAAAACAGCAAACTGCTCAGATCTACCAGTGAACCCAATCCCCTTGGAGTAGGAGCCGCTGGCTCAAGTCAAAGCTTGGAAACAATCTCATGTCATTTGTACAGCAAAGTAGTGGGACACTAAATGCTCTTCCAACAACTGGAGGTCATGAACCAAGACCTCAAAACAAGGAGGGCTTTCTCTGCTCCTTGAGTTTGTATGTGGACAGCAGACCAGCAAGTGTCTCCTGTTAAAAAGGAGCTATAGCCCCAATCCCACAAATTAAGAAAAGTAGACCTCACCGGGCGTTGGTGGCGCACGCCTTAAATCCCAGCACTCGGGAGGCAGAGGCAGGCAGATCTCTGTGAGTTGGAGGCCAGCCTGGTCTACAGAGGGAGTTCCAGGACAGCCTCCAAAACAATACAGAGAAACCCTGTCTCGAAAAACAAAAAACAAAAAGGAAGAAAAGTAGACCTCAGCAAGTCCTAACAAGCCTTTCTCTACCTGGGCTCAGGACCTAGTTTTCCTTATATAGGTGACAAAAACAGGTGCCCAGCACTCCCAGACATGGAGCATCTTGGGAAATGGGTATAGTTAATGCAAACTTTATTTATAAAAGACTCTTAAATTAGTTGTCTCATGCCATGCATTCATACAGAATACAGTGTCCCTCCAGGGCTACAGAAGAAGAGCTCACAACTCAGAAGGAACTATTAGAAGAGTTTCTAATGGCTGAAAGCTAGGAAAAATTAGGACAATTTTACAAATGAGCCATCAAAACAAAACAAAAAGAAATGGAACCTAGTCTGAGCTGAGGGCGCAGCTGTGTAGAAGTCTGTACACTAACCTAGGCCACAGTCAGTCTTCTAGAGGCAGCGCTGATGGGGAGAAGCAGAGCATGTGTGACTGCGCCACCACTGCTCCTCCCCATCTGCTGTCCAACACACAACCAGTTTGTGTACATGAGGCCCGCAGTGGCCACTTCCCACTATAGGACTTCTAGATTAGTAAACTAAAGCTGCAAAGTGCTGAGGGATGGGCAGCTTCATTTGCGACTGCTCTTTATTCTCTCCAGTCTCTTTTTCAAGTCGTCAATGTTAGTTGTGGAGGAGGAGGAGGTCATGGTTCCTGCAGAGTGGGTCTGATTGGAATCCAGGTCTGAGTGCTGGTGCTGCTCGCGGGACTCCCGCAGCTGAGAGAGCTTGCTGTGGAGCATGTCTGTGGAAGAGGCAACTGGAGGAATTGCTGGTTTGGAGAGTAAAGAGGTCAGCGGAGGTCGGTCATCTTGCTATTGAGAGAAGACAGAGAAACACTGCTTCAGGGGAAGCAATCAAGATACAACTCTGGGGCTGGAGAGATGGCTCAGAGGTTAAGAGCACTGCTTGCTCTTCCAGAGGTCCTGAGTTCAATTCCCAGCAACCACATGGTGGCTCACAACCATCTGGTGTCCTCTTCTGGCATGTAAGCAGAACATTGTATATGTAATAAATAAATAAATCTTTAAAAAAAAAGAAATATGATTCTAAAGAGAACTAAATTATTAAAAAAAAAAAAAGATACAACTCTGCCTCAGCGTGTACCAAGGTCGAGCTACTTTGCTGTGGGCCAGCCTGTCCCTGACCTGCTTGTCACTGCTTTCTCTACCCACACAGAAAGAAAGGAGCAGTACCTTTGTGTTGTCAAGACCACACCGTTGTCGGAGAATTTTTAGCCTTTCCAGGTAGACAGACGGCCCCACTTCTTCTCCGTTTGTGTTACTTAGGGAGGATACTGTGCTGGTGGGGGTGGGCACACATGTGACCTCCGTCTGAGGGGAGATGCCTAGAGAGAAAATGGAGGAAGCACATGCAGACATCCGCATAACCCAGCTTCCAGACTGCAATGGCCAATCTGCTACCCAGACAACCAATTATTTCAAGGGCTTAAGTTATGATTATGTTTAGGAGCCGGGCATTGGTGGCGCACGCCTTTAATCCCAGCACTCGGGAGGCAGAGGCAGGCGGATCTCTGTGAGTTCGAGGCCAGCCTGGTCTACAAAGTGAGTTCCAGGACAGCCTCCAAAGCTACATAGAAACCCTGTCTCGAAAAAAACCAAAAAAAAAAAAAAAAAAAAACCAAGTTATGTTTAGTATGCAAGTCCTAGCAACAATAACAAAGGATCTACTGGGACTTAGTCATACAGGCTAGTCTCAAACATACAACCTAAACCTTGTTAGAACTTCAAAAATTGATACAACAGGGCTTTCTGCATAAACCTTGGTTATGTGAAGAACTGTACCAAAAATCACAGGGCTTACATGGACAATTTGAAATCTCTAAGATACTTCTAAGTATATAATGAGTGCCCAACTAAAAAATGAAGATACGTGGAAGAACCAGTTATGCTTGAACTGGATGACACAATAAAGATTTTTTTTCAAATCTATAGAGAACAAGGAGCTCAAAGGATAGGAACTACCCAACAATATTCTTTGAGAACAAGAATTCATCTCAAATCCTAAATTTCTAACAGTGATCAGTCATAAAATGCAACATGTAAAAGACCTGACTCACATGGCTGGGGAGCTGGCTTAGTGGATAAAGTGCTAGTCATGTAAGCATGAAGACTGG